CTTCGGATGGCGGCTTGGCGACACCGGATGACGGATGAATCGGCGTGCTTCTGGAGGTTGTTTCGGACGGACGTCCCAGTTGGCCAACTGCAAGTCGTTGGGAGTCGTTCACCATGACGGTGGCACTTGGCACTTATTATAAGAATCGCCACACGTGGGTCGCTTCTTGCCATGGGCAGCACTTCCTTCTTCTACGGCCGTACGGGCCGGCGAGCCGGCACCGCTCTTCTTCCAAGCCTTCCAACTTCCCTCCGTTCGAGAACGCAGGATCGGAGACGCCTGCGGCCACGCCGTCTCTTTGAAGCTGGCGATTTGGGGCATGGCGATTTGCACCGTCCTGCAAGGCTGCCTGGTGCCCGACAGCCCAGGCAGAGTAGTGTTGCGGCGTCGCGGCATATGATGACATTGATGGTGGGTTTGGGCATGAAGGAATATAATGACAGTGTTTCTACATCATCTCTGCTTGCTAGGCTTGATCAAACATACCAAATATCCCATATACCTACCCTTTTATCAGCTCAACATTAAGTACCATGAGCCTCCCATCTCGGGCCAGGATTCTATAGGAAGTTCTCATCACTCCTGCGCACAACGACTGGTACCAACGTGCTGATAGATCACCGTCTTTGAGCTCCGAAATGTGCCCCGACGACTGGGCAGACCATTCCAGTGCCTGGCTACAGGTTCATGCAGGGTCAGTTGTTGGGCCTCGTGAGACAACCCGAATACGAGACATATATAATCTCATATAACCTCAATAATTATAAGCTATAATAACAATTATTATATACTGGAGGCCATTGGGTGGATTTTGCCTGTCACCCTACTCATTGCGAAATGAACGCCCAGTCTGCAAGACAGCGCCCTTCGACTCTTTCGCGAATCTATCCAGCGCGCCCATATTATGGAACCTAGCTTATATTACAAGATTCAAGATCCAACATGCATTCGACCCGACCATGGAAGTTGAAGGCATGTAAGACCCGAGGTCCCTTACTCGGTCACTCCAATGGCGCCGTCAGGTGTCACCGCGCAGCTGGCAGTGTTAAGGATCTTCACGGGGCTCTCGGCAGGCACGGGGCGTGGAGCGTTGGAGTGTTTGGAGCGTTTGGTTTCAGGGAGGGTGGCTGCTTCGAAGAGATGTGATGTCCTCCCATGTGGGAGGACCAAACTGGAAAACCGAATGCACAAGGGGTCGAGATGCGGGTACTCTTTTGTGTGGCAAACACGTGTGATTGTGAAGTCTGTCAACTGAGAGTGGCTTGGAATCTTATCTACTTTCTTGTAGGGGTAAGGAGCTGCTACCCGATGTGTAACCACCTCACAGAGGACCCCAAACTGGTACATCGAATTCTCGGGTCTTATTTTTGGAGTGAACTCATTGTACTGCATTCATCTTCATTCTACTCTCCTGCCCCAAATTCGGTGGTTTGTTTCCTAACCTTGCCGATCCTTGGTCCGGCATCCTTCTCCCCGATGTTCCACGGTGTCCCAGACCAATCTCCTCCGAACGCAGGCGGCGAGTCGGCCGGAGTGAACACCTACATGTCGGAGATCGGCGACGAGGCGCGCGTTTTGCGAGCGAGCGGCGAGGAGCCTGCGAACCGCGCGCGGCGGTTGGGGGCGCCCTTTTTCTCCCGAGTCGGGCGCGCCTGGGGGAGGTCGGTGTGTCGGGGCAGTTGGAAGTTGGGTTTTCAAAAGTGTTTTTTTTTCCTTTTTTTCCTGTGATTTGTCGGATGGACATGGATGGAAACAAAAGCGGGTTGGTGGGATGGGGGTGTGAGGGGTTGCACAAAAGTGTACCTTTTAGCATCTTTTAGCAGATTGAATGGCATGAACATATCGGCAGAATCATTCCTAGAGTCAGTTTTCTTTTTTTTAAAGCATACTTCAGATTAAGAAAACACATCACATGTATTCACATTTGTTCATTACATCATATTACATCATGTTCCCCCATAGTCACTGAAAGGATGGTGTCTCTTGTGGGTTGTTGAGAGGCCTAAAGAGGGGAATGTGTTGATATGTGTTGATCATCCCTCATTGACTCTTGGTTGTGGCTGGATTTAAGGGTCTGGGTTTTGCACCAACACGTCTTTTCGCACATTGAAGTGGAGGACAAATTGTATATATAATGCCCACCAATGACAAAAGCGCAAGTTCTATCTAATTACTGTAGAATGGCTAGATGCCTTGATATATCTTGATATGCATGTTCGTGAAGTGGTTTTAACCAAGGCCAGCTGTTGAGCCCAGAGAAGCACTGCCCTAATCACTGTCAGGGCCGGGAGCACACGTTGGGGGGCTGCCATCGGCGTGAACAACCTGAGTGGCCGCCTGTGGCGATAAAGGGGGGAAGTCTGGCTGCTGCAACTAGGGTACGGGGAGAAGTGCTTGTTATACTTGCATGCAATACCAACAGAAACCAACATGAGGCAAGTGAATGGTCCGTACCTCCATAATAAGGTGTTTGACGTGACCGTGCGGTCGTGCGGTGGCGAGATGTCTATCATGTCCACCCAGGTCTCCCTGTGAAGTTTCTACCATGGGTGTGGGTATGTGTGGGTCGGTGATTCGAGGTCAACAGCTACTTCCGAGATGGATCACCTCTAAGGATTCCTCCCAAATCCGGAATCTCCGACAGGTGGTCGAGCCGAGCGAACCGCCAGCTTAACGGCTGTCCGGGACACCTTGAGGTTCTTTGGCCTTCCTCCTGGCGAACTTGGTCTCGCTCTTGGTGCATCTCTTGCCTTGGGAGGACCAAGTGGCTCCTCGGCCCCCGTATCAGACCCAGCAGGTCCAGCAGGTCCACCAGGTCGAGAGGAGTCTAGAGGAGTCCAGGCTTCAGATAGCGCTTGCTACGAATTCGGAGCGATCGGACGCTACGAACGGAACAAAGGGCATCGCAACTAGGAACAAGGATGCTACGAACGGGGCTCCTGGCCTTACTACTATAAACAAGAACGCGACGAACGGAGCAAAGGGCATCGCTACCAGATCCATACCACGATGCTTTCGGAGCCCCGCCGATGCACGGTCAGCCGGGACCCCACCCCACGCCCTGGACGTCCCCAAAACCCCGCCCGCCGAGGCTTGGGGTTGGCGGGTGCCGTTCCTCCTGGCTGCACCGCTGGGGGTGGCATCGATCCTCTTAAGGAGGTGCCATGCCATACCCATGGACAATGTCATGGCCAAGTCATGGCCATGTGTTTCAGTTTTTTCGTCTCTTCACCGCGGTATGCGGATACGTCGTGTCTGCAGCAAGTTGCGGAAGGTTTTGGGACTTGAAGGGTTTACGGCATCACCTTTGGGCTCGTTTACATGTAATGACAGCTACCTCGCCTTTGCTCACCAAGACTCGAGTTCCTCCGCGCCTTTGTTCAGACGTGCCAGGCATGTGCCAGAGACCGAGGCTTTTCGCAGGAGAGAGCAAAGCTTGAAGAGAGAGATCTCTAAAATCAGGCCATATGTGTAGAGAATTGTCCTCATTTGACCACGCAACATGCCCCCTACAAACGTGGTCAACAGGAACGACCCTTTTGTTTCAGCCCAGCTGTTGCGCATGCAGTTGGTGTTTATACATATATGCTTTCACACCCAGCACTCGTTTTTATGTCACGTTCGGACTGCAAGGTTCTCCGTCTTGGACCTCGGATCGAGCATTCCATCTGTGTTGCGCGTGCTCCGCACGGGACCCGGGACCGCTCCGCACAGTTCCCAGGAGGCGCGACGCCGAGAAGTCGGAGACCTCGTCGGACGCCGTGTAGATCTCGGCGGCCGCGTCGGCGCAGCCGTCGTCCGACGAGCCCAAGAGGGTCCCCGCGAGGCGGCGGATCAGTGGAACATGGGCACCGTGGGAGACACGGTGAGAAATCGTGTTGATGGTGGCTTGGGTGAGAAGAACCAGTCGTAGCAGGTGATTCCAAAGATGACATTGGGCTGGACCGTCCGAAAACGGCTGTGCTGATATCTCTTTCTTTCTTAGATTTGCTGGGATTCATTGGACTGTTTGTGGCAGAACGGAGGGGACGTAAGGAGTTTGTGTACCACTACTCTTTTGTTCAGTGCTGTGATTCATAATGCTTCATATGATTGTTCCTTTGGATTTCTTTCATTGGGCCGCTCCTTTTGCTCCGTATGATCTCAATGACATGATGCTGAATTGTGTGGACTTCATAGAAGGTTTCCTCAGTTTCAGCAGGATCAGCCACCTGCTCTGTGCAACTGTGAATTTGGCAACCTGATGAGTTTCAGCAGGGCAAGTCCGGATCGATGAACTGGAGTTCTCCATGATTTTCCTCCTCGATCACACGGCACGGCACCGTGCTTGCCTTTTCCAGTAGCAGGTTGAAACAGATGGATCCCCATCCAACAGATCTGCTCCTCCAAAAAAGCAGTGCCGGTTTGGAAGGCGCCATAGCCTTCCCACACGTACACACACTCCCTGTTTGACCCCAAAACGCACCCGACTGACCCCACTGACCGACCTTGCTTTGGTCTCCTCCTCACCGTCTCCTCACGAAAAACCCTCACCCTCTCGACGTCTGGCAGAGGTGGGGACCCTGGACTTCTCACTTCTATCTACTTCCGCTGGTGGTCCTGGTCCTCTCAGCAGCACCTCGGAACTTCCGGCGAGGCCGTCGGAGTCGGTTTCGTCCGTGTTGCGGTTTCTGGGCGGTTTCTGGGCGGTTTCTGGGCGGTTTCCTTTGAAGCCAGGTGAGGCGGGCTTGAAACAGTTGGCCTGGTCATCATTGTTTTGCAAGGATTCTCCTGCAGGTGTGAAAAGGGGTTATATAACTCTGCGACAATGTCCACGCAACATTCCGGGGCGTGGGTAGAGAGGGCTACCATGGGTTTGCCCTGACTAATTATTTGGCAGTGGAAGCAGACAAAAGATTTGGACCCTTCGGGTTGGTCAAAACACCTTGATCATCTTATAATGGGTTTCATGCCAAATGTTATGTTACTATGTTGTTTTAATCTTGTTTGTCTCCCTGGCCATGCTGTTGGCGAAGGTCTCAGGCTTCCTGAGCCCGCAGCGTTCCGCTCATCGCGTCGCGCCTTCAAGCGGAATGAATGCACGACATGCGTGACACGAACGACATGAACGACCTGAACTGAGCGAATGACGTCTCCGAGGTCAATAGCTGCAACTACTTGCCGATTTACTTGGTCTCCTGGCTTGAAGAGGTGGGCTGTACAACGCCAACGCTCCCGGTGTGGGCCGGTCGTTTCTTGGGTGCCCGATAAGGGAACCTTGACAACGTGGGAGCTCGGTGTTTGGCTGCAAAGCGTGCTCTCTTTTTTTAGACCACTTCCGACGGTAAGTCAGTGGGGGACGCTTGCGCAGAGTTTCGCAACTGGGAACCCAACAAGGCCAGGCCAGTTGAGCTATGGCCTGCAGCCTGCGTGGTGTGCAACCGTAGTAGTACGGTGGTCGCACCATCTAAAATTGATTGCGTTGATGACTGTGACGAGTTTGATGGATGCAAGTGCAAGCTATTCAGCATTGGATAGCGTCTAAATCTAAATGAGGTCGTTCATTTCTTGGCACACGCTTGTTTTTCAAGGAAGTGCGATAACTAATCTTATGAACCACCAACTAGTGTTGATTATTGATAAGCATGGAATTCTTTTACCATTGATAAGCATATGAAACGGGATGCTGAAGTCTTTGAGACTGGTCATCGATTTGTACAATTACTGTATGGCAAGGTTTCGCATGTCCTGCGGAGCAGGATGTATGTTCACGCGCTTGCATGCGTCATGGTGTACTTCTTTTGGGTGAGGATTCAACGTACATATTTTTGAATAACGCATGACCACTGCGACTCCTTTCAATTTGGTCAAGGCGGCTTTGAAGCTGGTTTGGCCACAAGTTGGGGTGCAAGAATATTTCGGAGTTTGGCCATCCGTCTGCTGTGTGCTACGTTGAGCTTCCTGTGAAACCTGATATAATATAAGATAGAAGCAAAGCAAAGTGAATATTTGCAGGACTCAGGAATACCAAAGAAACGTCCTTGCTTCCTTGCTTCCTTTCTTCCATTTCGCAAGTAGCATTGCAAGAGCAACTGCGGGCAGCATGAGACTTCAGCTACGGCCATCGTTAGGCCAACCCCGGTCCTGCTTGTGAGAACCGAGCAACTTCCGTCCCGGGCCGCGGCAGGAAGCGCAGTTGACGCCTCCTCAGGCGCTGAGCATCTCAGCCTTAGCCAAGGCGGGACGTCGAGTGAAGTGCTGAACGTAAAAGCGAAGGCTGCGGAGCGGAGCGTGTCGGTTCGTTTGTGGTTGTTTCGCTGAAAGAACATGCGCAGGATGTGATGGGTTGCATGGGAAACAGTTCACCGGTCCTTCCTAAGCTTGTTGAACAATCGATAGGGAGAACGAGGGAGAAGAGACCGTGCAGATTTTTCAAGGGCCTCGGAGAGCTACAGTAACTGTTGAATGAAGGGCATGCTTCAGTAGAGAAGATGGTTGTCCCTCGATCTATATAACTCTGCTTCTACTGTTGACCAAGATGCACATGCATATTCTTTTTGTCACCAGGGTGGCGGTTGCACGCATGCTTTGGAAATTAAACCCACTATTCAATAATTAGTTCGATTCTTTTTTAAAATCAGGCACCTGAGGCTGAGAAGACCTCTTGTGCCAGTCTAGTTTTGGTGCGACTGAGATGTTGATTGACAGTAGCTGAAGCACAAGACAGAGGAGTCCTTTCCACCGTCCAACAGTCCATTTCTTATTTCTCGCTCGCTTCCCAGCCTTGAGCTGTACCACCAATGGATATACACAGCAAAAGAGTCTGGGAGCTTCCAAGCTTAAAAATACGTTTGGAGTGTGTTTGTAGCCCTGGCCTCCCATGCACCCAATATATGGCAGCTTTTTCGTTGCGAGAGCAGAGAGTAGCTCGCGGTTACTCGCTGCGAGCGGCCAGGTGGTGCAGATGCTGATGACCTTCCCAGCATCCTTTGCCACCGATCTCTTCGGCACCACCAAGGCACCACCATGGCGTCTCGAGACGAGGAGGGGAGGGCAGATGGGTCAAATGGGTCACGGGTGCGTCACTTCGACTGGACTGGGTTTTGGGAGGTTCGAACGTTCTCCTTAAGACTTTGAAGCAGCAAGACAGCCCAGAGGAAGGGATTCCGTGAGATCAGCTGCGAAAAAAAGGCCCAAATCACTTCACTTGTGAGGTCGGAGGGAGGAGCCATAATCAGTAACGCTAATGGTGATAGCCAGGTGAGCAACTATGAGAGTACATTCATGCACATCCAGTTCATCCAGTTCCCTACCACCACAGTTCACCAGGCACCTCAAGCGGGTGGGCCTCCCAGCTGAAGATCCACCAGACCCATACCCGGCGGGGAGGTCATGTTGCTGGGTGGCTCGTCTGTGGCTGTGGCGGCAGTCCCGCTGCTTTGGCGCCTGGGATTTTCTCAAAGGATCCGCATGAGGAGACGGCGAGACGATGTGTTCCAGAGATATCTATAAAGAGGAGCCCCCAGGAGTTCAACCCATGTGACTTCAGAGAAAACTTCACCCATGGGTCCCATTGGGTTCATGCTTTTGGGGCAAGTTTCCTCGTTGGACACACCTGGATTTCTTCCGAAAGTTGTCGACTCGACCGTATGGAACTTTAGGAGATGATCAATTTACAAATAGACATGCGGAACATTGTGACAGAATTTTAAGGGCTTTGTCATATATAGTTGAAACATGTTGAAACAAGTTACACGACTTCCATTTCCCTTGTTTCCTTGGCATTCCTTGACCAGGATTCTTCTTCGGTGAAGACGGGAAATCACCCAAAGTATCGTGACCTGAAATCTCACTGGGGTGCTCCGGAGTTGAGTCCATCCTCAGCCTGTCATAGACAACTAGAGAGCCCTACACCGCGCGACAGCAAGAGTCATCCCATCCCTCCAGCCCACGGCCATCTAGCTCAAGGTCACAGAAAGCGCAAGACGGGTGCGCATGCACCCAAAACGGTTGCGATCCAACTTTATAGCCAGAAACAGGTTATAGACAGCTGGATAGCCAGGCGTCTGTGTCTCGGAGCGCTGCCTCAGCGGATGACCCTGGGTTCAGCGGAAGCTTCAGCAGAAGGGAAGGTAGATGAAGACCGGGGCATGGTGATGCTTAAGGTGAAGAATTGCAAGCATTGTTAGAATCTCGAATGTTTCTGTGCAATGTTGCAAGCCCATCTCGAGCTCTACCATTGCGGTGACCATGTGTTTTTAGCAGACCCAAAGCTGACACAGAAGCAGAACAACCCCCTGTATCTCAGAATCATTTAGTTTGTGAGGACCCTCCACCCTCAGCCCTCAGATTGAACACAGCGTTCCCGCCGATATGACATCGATGCGGACGACGGAACCACGTCGATCAGAACTACGCCAGCTGTTGCACCCACCAAAATTGATCAATAACTCCTCAGGTTGACGATGGCCTCCAGCACTGTAGGGCTTTGGCCAGCCTTTCTGATTCTTGGAGTCTTCTTACCAGTGCCTGGTGCGAAGGGGGGGGCCGCTTGTGATCCCCCAAACCCTGGTGCTGCCCGAAGTCCGACATAGTTGTGGGTGGACTTATGTGGACGGCGTGCGTTCGGGCTGAAGACGGCAGCCATCCAAACCCCTCAGCAAAGGAAAAAGAGGCCTTTCAAATCGTTTGAGCTATCTACAACAAAAATGAGCAAATAGATTCAGATGGTGACCCGTTGGGATGACCACATATTACAACCATCCATGTCACATGTCTGTTCTTTTGGTGGTTCGCACGCAGGGATTTGCAAGTCCGAGTTGGTGTGATGTTCGAAGGGGTGAGGTTTGGTTGAACAGGGCTTGCGGCTTGAGATAGACCTCGAATCGGCATGGATTGGTTTTTGGGAGGGTGCTTTTCAGTGCGTGTCTTGTTGCCTTTCTGTGTGGTTCTTGGAGAAGGTGCAATGGATAGACATATGACATCATATGACATGATATGACGTACGTATGCTATACCCTAGCTCCCAAATACTATCTACGAGTGGATATATAGCTCAGAGAAACCTCAACACGCACAGTTGCAGTTATCCTGGAGCAAACAGAACATGGAATCACAACTATTCCCAATTTTTTTTTCTGAACTGTTTCACATGAATTCTATCTAAAAATCTATACTTCAGGAGAACAAATCACACACAAACTGATGACATGTCATGCACCAACCGGACAAAAACGACCTGACTCAACCCCCTTCACCCCATCGCCTACCTGCGACTCCAGACGCGTGACGACGCGTCCGGTCACGTCCGGTTCGCTCCGGTGCGCGTCGAACAGCGGTTCGACGGATGGGGGTCGTCCAGAGGTGCTGATCTCCATCTACCTGGTCCCTTCGAACCTCTTCATGACCGCTGTCTTCCCAACTCTTCTGCGCGCCAGAGCCTGCGGGATCTGTCGGAGACTGAGGGCAAAGCCAAGGGGGATTATACACTCAAGTACAGGTCCTTCTTGAGCAACAAGAAGCATGCGTCTCGTTCCATGGTGTAAGCCATGCTTGAAGACGTGTGCAGCAAAAACAGGATCAAAGGCATAGATAGGAAGGCGAATCGAATTCTGGAGCGGTGCGGAATTGCGCTGTTTTTTGCCTTGAAGGAGCTCTAATGGAAACACCAGCAGCTATGTTCAGTTGGCTTATTCAGTCTGAGTCTGGGGTTTCGTCAAGCAATTCCATGTTGTTCAGTTATGGGTTCATGTTTTTGTTTTTTTTTAAGCATCCTAAACAGCAGCATCCGTGCTGTTTTGGTCAATGGTCCCACCAGCAGCATCCGTATTCGGCCGTGGGGGGGCGGGGCGATCCTCGAGGCCTGGGACTGGCCTCGATTACTGGTGGGTTGACGCCCATGATCGCAGCTGGGGTGCAAGGATTTGGGGGTGAAGAAAGGCACACATGTTGTGAGGGAAGAAGGCACGTCTGAAGTGACCATATTGTAAACATGTAGCAATGTAGCATTATGATGTCAGGAATTATATCATTATATATAGAGTACGTAATATGATCTAATATGGTGACTATGTGATACTATATGGCCATAAGTTCAAGTTTCATCATTTGCCAATGATCACAGGGAAGAGGGGCCGTGGATTGAAGAGGCTGCGGGCTGCGGGTGCTGGCTGCGTCGAGAGAAACGCTCGCTCCGCCCACTTTTGAAGGCCTCTCAACTCGCCCAAGAAGGACGGCTATGGCCAGGTGGGGCGGGTCATGGTTCCAAGAAGGAATAGCAGCCTTTGCTTCTGAGATTCTGGGTGTTTGGAAGGATTTAGGCGAACAAAAAGACTTCAGGCAGGTCTTGTTTGCATTGTCTTCTTTTCTTGCCTGCTTCTTGATTTGCTTCCTCAAAGGACTTCTTTGCGATGGCCTGCATCTCACGTCAAATCCCCTTCACAGCGTTACAGCGTCACACGTGCAAGGTGCATTCATCTCCTTCCTCACGCTGCCCTCCCTAGCAGTCTTGCTTTGGAGCCGCCAGAAGGGCCGTTTGGCTGTCTATCAAAGGCCATGGCTCTTCTGAGGAACCGGACGAGTTCGCACTCCGCTGAGTCGTGGTGGGGCCGGCTCATGTGATCCGATCGCTACGAGGCACTTTGGATCCATTTATAGAGTACCAGTGAACCAAAAGCCACAACAGTACACATGAAAAGATCTGTTGCACGTGTAAAAATTCTGTCGAAAAATCACCAAAGAGCTGATCAGATCTTGTGAATGGCACCATTGGCAAACACATGCTGAAAAGAATTGCTTGACACGGTTCAATTAAGATACAGTAACGAAGCATGACTGTGAGTTACAATTTGTTCCGGTTCCTCTCAATGGGCCCGCCCGATCTCCACTGCTGGGCTTAGTCCCACCGTGATTGGTGGCATCTCGATGTGCTGCAGATGAGAGATATTCTTTGGAGCTGGGCAAATTGTTGTTTGTCTTTGCATGAAATTCAATTCACGTCACTTGAGAACTATTAGATACAACATTCATCCAGTTATAGATGACATGTCGTGTCCTATTTACAGCCTTCGGCATGCCGCCGGCCACCAGCTCGAGCCCGCATTGGCAGGCAGCCTAATGATGCTTATTAACAGTGTTCCACAGTTCTATTTTCGTTCCAAGGCAGGGACAAGATCACCTCTTCTAGGCTGAAGCAGCTATATAATCCGGCACGTCTCTTTGATTCAACTCGCTTTTTCCTGTTCTCGCCATGGCCTAGTCTGAAGCAACCGGGGCAGGGCAGGCTGTCGAAACATCCGCGCGGAGAAACAAACCGTAGATTGAAACCAACCGTAGATTGAAACCAATGGAAACCAACACAAGCCAGACGAAGCAAGACAATCCACAAAGCCGGTACTTGAAAATGAGTCTTCTTCCAAACTACTTGGCCTTTTGCATGTTTTCCTTGTCAGATCTTTTTTTCGACCGTCTTGAGGAATTGCGAGTCGCACAAGATATTCTTTTTCACATACAGAAGGCTTCAAAGCGACCGACGAATTTCTTGATCTGGCATGATTTGTCGTTTTTTCCTCCAAACCGTTCGAAATGAAAGACCCAGAATGACATCGAACAACAACACCCTGCTCAATCATACTTGTTGGTGCATTGGAGTTGCACATTTGGCTGGGTGAGTTTGTTGATGTTTATTTCAAGGTTGTTTGACCATGAAATGGAACGAATCCGAATCAGAGGTTGTCAATTCTGATCCAGCGATCGACATGTCTCAGTCCAATCACCTTAGACGTAGAGAGGGGGGGGGGGGCCTCAGGCTGTCGAAAAATCCGCGCGGAGAGACAAACCGTAGGTTGAAACCAACACTAGCAATACTAACCAAAACAATCCACAAACCACGCCGGCAGGCCGGCGGAGTTTCCACATTATGGACGTTTCTTTGTCAAGATTAATCCATAGTTTGGGAGCCCTCTATAACAACAGTCTTTTACGAACGATCAGACGCATCTCAGACCCTGCAAATTCTGTGGAGGTATGACATGTACAGACTGTGAGTGCCACATTCACGAGCGTCGAGCTTCTGACACAAACTACCAGGAAATGAGCCCATCCATTTGGTGGGTCGGGAAGTGTTACGAAGAGAGGATGCTCTTCTAGAGTTCACTAGACATGCCCAGCACTTTGAGGCAACTTCAACAGTTCCTGAAAATGCGGGACTGGCCTTTTTCTGTGTTGGCCCAATGGGTTTCCTCACGGCTGGCGGTGGAAGACGAGGTGAACAAAACCATGGGTTCACGACCTGAAGTACGTGCAGTTTGGAGGGCATGCGGCCATGATTGCACGAGGATCGCCTCCTATATCAACCGTGTGGTGTTGAGGTAGTTTTATAGGTTGGGTAGCTCAAGTACGGCCGCTCCCGAATCTCGTTTCCTGAAGCAGCAGCCTGCTTAAAAAAAAGGCTTGAGATATGAGTGAACGTTTCTTTCTTTGGTTGCCCTGATCCCTTACCACAAAGCTTTGTTAAACCCCAAAAAGAGAACCAGACGAGAAGCAGTCTTCCAGTCAAGTTGTTGGGTGGGCATGGATGGGGGGGGGTCGAGTTAATACCTTAATGTTTGGGTCATATCAGATTGTCCTTTTCAACTCACTCTTATTTAATGTTAATCTTATTTCAGTTTTAACGTATAAGGAGTTTGATTTGACTCAATCTACTTTGATCGCACTCCACCGTGAGCCTTTCGTTCACCCCCTTGTACAGCGTGAACTCTGCCGGCGTGGCGGCCGGGGGACTGCGTCAGGGCACCGTGGCAGACGAGGTCAGACGAGGTCAGACTGGACCCCAACAGGTGGATTCTGAGCGCGGGGTACTCCGCAGAGGACCACATGGAACCCCCAAACGTGGTCGGGTGGGTATTCGGAACATCGTCGAATCGTACGGGTCAATTCTCAGGTTCTGTGTGAGTTCGTGGGGGAGTACAACGCAATATCGGTTGGATGGGCCCAGGTCTTGCACCGTCGTTCAGTGCAACTATACGTTTTTTTTCTTTTTTTAATGCCGTTCATGTCGTTCAGGTTTCCAGAAGGCCATTGGTCGAACGGTCTATAGGTGTTTGGTTGATCGTTCCCAATTTAGCTGTATATAGTTGAGCGTGACCGGTCACGGCGGTCGATCCTTCGTGGATGGCGCTTGGGCACCGACCGCGTGCGCGGACCACCCACGCCGGGCCCGTCCTCCGCATCGGTGCCGGTGCTCGGCCCGGTGCTCTGCCCACGGTGCTCGGCTCCGATCGAATTAGAGGAGCTTTGTCTCAGGGAGGCTCCTGAAAGGTCCCGATCTTGGGGCCTTCTTGGGATCCCTCTTTTTGAGAATGCTCAAGCTGAGCGAAGCCGCAGAAGTGAAGCTTTCAGGTTCCAACTTCGCTGCGGGAAACCGGTTGCTGGGATTCGGAGGGGACTGGGATGACCGCCACCTGATCGAAACAGCAGTCGAAACAGAATTCATGTATCACTCCCTTTCTTGGATAGTAGAGTCTCCATCGGGAAGATGAATGAATCCATTCAATCATCACCATCCACTGCAGAATCATCCCGGATCTCACAGATCAAGATGAACCTCTCCACTTGGATGGTGTGTTCAACCTGCAAGTCACCCTGGGTTACTTGGTGACGCAAATCCTGGACAGACCAACGCCTCAAAACAACCTGTTCATATTGGTCACTGAAGTAGATTGGAAGAATTCACTGTTCATCACTATTCACGCAGAATCCTTTGAAGGTGATATCTTGAAATATATGATGCTATGAGTTATGACAATCTTGTGATTACCTTCTCTGCTTTTGATACTTCACGGATCTTCACGGCAGCACCCGAAACCAGATGCCCTGACCTCCACCAAACCCTTGTGACTTGACCAGGCCCAACACGGCCTTCATGCCCCTGAGCTACGATCACCATCGGGGCAGGCCGACCGAGAGAGCGAGAGAGAGAGAGAGAGATGGCCCCCAACATAGAAGCAATCGCCTCCAACCCAGAGAGAGAGAGAGAGATAGAGAGCGAGAGAGCGAGAGCGAACGAGCGTTCCCTTCGCGTGATTGTGGAGGTGCTAGAATTAAGGACTGTGGACATGTTCGGGCTGTAGAAAGGCCTCTCAGGACTTTCAACATGTCCCTATATATTTTTGAATAACCATGAAAACTATTCGTTTGGAACATGGGTGAGTGCAAAGCTGCACACTTGAAGATTGGTACATACAACCCCCACCCTCTATTATTGGAATTGAAGATGATTGAAGCAATCGAATGTTTTGGGCACCCATGAGCCTTGACCTGCATACATGCGGCCAGGTGGGATCCGTCACAGTCCGAACTACTGGAATGCTGGCCCAAGCAGTCCCACTTCCCTCTATTTCATCTGCATAAATCTGTGGTTCAACAGGTGTGGCTCAAACAAGAAGACCTGGAGACTCATAGTTTCTGATCCTTTTACCAATGAATGACTGGATTTGAGTCATAGCCATGTCAGTCGTTATCAGAATCCGCTGGACTCATGGCAAGGGGCACATCCTACCCATCTCTTGCATTGTGCTCTATCGTATCTCTTCAGCTGTTTGCGTGCCGCGTTTTGGGGGAGAAGCGCGTGCGTGCCGCTGGTCCTGCAGTCTGTAAGGGAGTCTTTCAGAAGCACCACCCCACGGAAAATCAATTCCTCACTGGGACGCTTGCATGACTTGGTGACCAACTATAGTCCCATTTGCAGGGTGTCTTGCATATCCAGTATTGACATGTTTCGACTCGTTTTTGATTCTTCAAATACTGGCACATCACATGAGTCAACCACGACTTGCCCAAACAAGGAATTTTTGAAGAAGGAACCTGTTTCCGGATCCTTATAGCACAATGACTCTGCAGACTTGGTGGAAAATAGGAGCATTTCGCCGTGATGCCAGACGGCCGCCGACGCCTTCCTGCACATCCGCGAGATGATCCGAGAGGCCGCGCGTTCTGCGCCGGGCGCTGTGCGACGTTCGCCCGGACGGCACGTTCTGCTGCGCGGAACGTGCGCCGGGCAGAAGAGCCTGGTCCACTGAGAACGGCGTTTGAAGATCTTCAATGGGAACGCCTTTGATCCGCTGGACCTTGCGCGTACCGTTTGTGCGCACCTTGGCGACCTCACAATCCGCTGGAGATGCGTTTGTGCGTGGACCGGATTTGTCGAGGAGGATCGAAAGAGAAGAAAAAGAGACCTCAAAGCAGCTCGCTGGACCATCCTGGACCTGGGTGTCCAGGACAGGGAGATCCCTGAGGCCGTAGTGCAGGGTAGTCCAGCCAGGACACCCAGGTCCAGGATGGTCCTGGTGCTTTTATCAGCAGCACCCAGTTCGGATGGTTTATAAAACCCCCCCCTACCCATGTGCTGGTCACCATCCAATCACCATCCAAGCGATCCGTGATCCGTGTGGCGGTCGATCCGTGTGGCTTTGTTGGTCCGGATCAGAGACCGGTGGACCGGTACATAGCACGAGCGATCAGGAGCGATCACGAGCCTCATGAGTCAAAGGACAAAGAAGATCAAATAGT